CCTCTTCATCATCTGTTGAGGAACTCTCAACATTTACATCTCATTTACATCTCAGCTGTTTAGCTGATGCTCTTATCCAGAGCAGCTCATAATGAGGAGCTTTAACATGTGAACTTTCTGTTACAACAAAGTCTCTTTAACCACTTTTCACCCTGGAATAGTTAATTCATCAACATGGGTCTGTAATCATTTTAGTTTGTCTCATCATCAGTGATACCAAAGTATTCTGTGTAGAAGAAGACTTCCTTGTGGAGTGCCTTACTGTACAGAAATAGCCTCAATTAAACACCATGACCACTTGGTGGCGCTGCTGTTCAGTAAAAGGAGGAGCTGAAGTGAGTAAATCTTCAGAGGAGCTGTCAGGTTTTTGTGCAGAGTTTTGGTGTTTCCTGTCACTGTGGGCTTCACAGCACAGTAGTACACAGCAGAGTCTGTCACTGCAGCAGAGGAGATCTGCAGATCCAGATGGGTTTTATCATCACTCACTTTAACAGACCATCTAGAGTTTGTTGCATTTTGTGTTCCCAAGTGAAAGATGAGAGACTCTGGTGGTTTTCCTGGATGTTGTCGATACCAGAAGAATCGATCTTGACCATCAGCTTTTTTAGAGTATTTGTAGGACAGAGTAACAGAGCTGTCTTCTAAAGTGAACTCTTCATTCCTGACTGCAGTGAGTTCTTCACAGCTGACACCTGAAGGAAGAGATAACTTATTGTTATGTTATTTCATGTTGTAAAAGACTCAACAAATGAATCCCATCCAGAAAAGTTAGTAATGAAACTTTCTCAGCAGGATCTCACATACCTGTTAGAATGGATAGTAACAGTAGAGAAAGTACATAATAGTCCAATGACAGCATGTTGAATAAAGGGAATGTTTCTGCTTTGTGTATTGAACTCTGCTGAATATGGAAGTTCCTCTCTCTTCTATAGTTCACTAACAGCTTAGCTCCTCCCTCAATCTCTCCGTCTCCTCGCAGCTCTGGATTTTCACTTCTCTCTGTTCCACTTCCTCCTGTTAACAGACTGGTAGCAGCAGGTTATTCGAGCTGAAAGGTTTTTTTCTTTTAAATTTTAAAGTATAAGCATAGTTCAAAGGATGGATCATCTCTGCAAACACAAGAAGGACTCAATTGAAGTCAGCTGATAACTGAACAAAAACCTCACTACAGAATCTTGTATCCAGATTGTATTTATGCTGAACATCAGTGAGCATCTTAGCAAAGTTTGATTTCAAGTGGTTGACAGCATTTGAGGGGCCAATAAAAGGATCTCAGTTCTAGACTCACTCAGTTGTAGGAAGGTCCAGAACAAGTGCACTTCACATGATATGAATTTATTTCAGGATAAACCCTTGAGATGTATCATCTCATTTTCAAGGGGGTCCTGTAGCATACATGCATAGACACTAAATTAACCACACATATACAAACACAATACACAGACATACATACAAAACAAAAACTCGCTCTCCTGCCCTTACCCCCACAATTAACATAGCACATATATTAAAGTATATTGACAAATAATCAGCTGAGTGCATTAAACAACCAATACGTCATTTATCAATATGCCTTATGACAAAATGTAACATGCAGGATAACGTCACACCTCACATAGGAATGTCCAAAGAAAATCAAGATAAAGAGAATGAAGACAGAAAGAGTCATGTTATATACATACTAATATATATTTTCTACATAAACCATTTATATGTAATACCGTTGGTATTCTTAATAACAAGAGCATGTAGTTTCAAGAAAAGAAAAAAGTGACCATTTGAATAAGCGAAATGTGGAAATAGATCTCAGGAAAAGAGGAAGGTTATTCCAGTCTTGAGGGGCCTTATATTGAAATTCTCTCCTACCAGCTACAGAAAACGACCTTGGTACCGTAAAATTTGTTGGACATTGGAGGTGTCTAAGTGAGTATGTCGAGCAATAAGGTATTAAGTGCTGTTTAAGGTATGCAGGACAAAATACAACACATGTAATGAACCAGCTGCCATGATTATTGTTTTTGAAAATGTATCTGATGAGTCTCTAAAAGACTAACAAACATTTTGATCAAAACCATGAAGTCCAAGTTGACACAGGAAGTGCAGTCGTTGTTGTAATCTGCTACAGAGACTGTCCACATGGATGTTCCAGGCTAGTCCATCCACCTCACAGGTGTGGCATATCAAGATGCTGATCAGACAGCATGGGGAGTGCCTTAGGCTGGCCACAATAAAAGGCCACTCGAACATGTGCAGTGTCACTGTAGTGGGGGGGCTACGGTGGGGTCCAGAAACCAGTCAGTATCTGGTGTTACCACCATTTGCCTTACGCAGTGCAACACATCTCCTTCACATAGAGTTGATCAGGTTGTTGATTGCGGCCAGTGGAATGTTGGTCCACTCCTCTTCAATGGCTGTGCGAAGTTGCAGTCAGATCGAGACCCCGCTGAGGACGACGAGCTTCCCTGAAACGGTTCCTGACAGTTTGTGCAGAAATCCTTTGGTTATGCAAACCGATTGTTGCAGCAGCTGTCCGGTTGGCTGGACTCTGACGATCTTGAAGGTGAAGATACCGGATGTGGAGGTTCTGGGTTGGTGTGGTTACACGTGTTCTGCGGTTGTGAGGCCGGTTGGATGTACTCCCAAATTCTCTAAAACGCCTTTGGAGACGACTTATGGTAGAGAAATGAACATAAAATTCACGGGCAACAGCTTTGGTGGACATTCCTGCAGTCAGCATGCCGATTTGGAGTGGCCTTTTATTGTGGCCAGCCTAAGGCACACCTGTGCAAGACCCATGCTGTCTGATCAGCATCTTGATATGCCACACCTGTGTGGTGGATGGATTATCTCCACAAAGCAGAAGTGCTCACTAAGACAGATTTTGACAAACAACAGCAACCAGATGATAATATGAAAGTTTCATCTTCACAATAAACAGTCAGACATTAGGGAAACAGAGTCCATTTTGATCCGGTAGTGGTTGATCCGGGATATTGATGGGGCAGGTCTCTGTAATGATGTAATAGTTAGGGTTATGGCTTCTACACTCATTTGTGTACAGGGTGAAAAGTATAGGTGAACTAACACAACCATGGGGGACATCCATATAATATATATAATAATAAGTAGATTTGGCTGTACCGTATTAAAAGCTGAACTGAAATCTAAAATAAAAGATGTGCATATGAGGTAGGATCCTCTAAGCGCTTTGGTAGAAAATGTAAATGGCTGCAGCAGCCGTACCTCTGTCACACCTACAGGCAAACAAGTTGATAATGACTTTCTCAAAACACTTCATATCTACTGAAGTCAAAGCAACTGGATGATCACGTAGGTCCAGAGACATCTGGTAGATAGGACACCAGGGTTCTGCCAGATCTTCACTGTATGATTTCAGCAGAAACCCAGAAATGCCATCTGGTCCGGTGGTCTTCCTGGGGCAGGTGTGTGAGAACATGCTGATCAGTGGGTATTTTTGGATAGTTTGATGCAGATAATAGGGTTGGGCTGATAGACGATGCCATCGTCCATCGGCGATGGCTGACAGACATCATGACGTTGAGCCGGCATCGTGATTGTAAAACCCCCGGGACAAAACTCTCAAATTTTCACATTATACCACCCTGTGAAAGCAGGTTTTAATGACCACAAACATTCTTATTATTGATTTGAAGTATGCTTTGCACCTGCCTCGGAAGTCTCTTCTCCCCACACTCTGACACACTCACACACACCTACACCTCAGGTAAACACCCCGGCTTGCCCCGCCTCTGTCTGTCTCACTCCCCCCGTCTGCTTCATTTTCTCCATCAGTAGTATGTTTTTATAAAGTCGTGGTCCGTCACTGAGACTTGTAACGTAAGTTAATAGTCTACCAATATTTTTACAGAGTGAAGTCTGTGTGAGAACACATGCACATAAGACGACTGCTACCTCCCCCCACGCACCCGATGACATCGTCCATCCCCATGTTTCACTGTAGATTTGTAACCATCGCCGAACCCTAGCAGATAATGTATGAAGAGCCACTTTTTGCTCCTGAGAGAAGTCAGCTATTTCAAACCTCTCATCAAAGTTGTTTAACTCATCGACCTTCTCACCTCATTAAAACCACAAAGACTCTTTTTAGCTGGAGCCATGTTTGTCCCACAGTGTTTTGTTGGTCATTGAAGAACAGCGGGTTTTAAATTTCTCCTCCTCCTTCCTTCTAGCTGTCCTTAATTTGGGCTCGAGTTTGTTCTGAATATTTTCATAGCCACAAGATGCTAGCTCTTAAATGCTATTTGTTTCTGAACTATGCACTTTCCATAATGTTTGTTGTTTGGTTCCATAGTTATAGACTTCTGTGTTAACACAATACAGTCCCCTCCAAAAGTATTGGAAAGAGGCAAATTCCTTTGTTTTTGTTGACATTTGGGTTCAAGATCAAAAGATGAGACCAGAGTTCAGAATTTCAGCTTTTATTTCCTGGTATTCACATCTAGATGTGTTAAACAACTCAGGACAAACCACCGTTTGTATTAGACCACAGCATTCTTAGGTGAACAAAAGTAATGGAACAACTAATCTTAAAGTAAACAACATTTAATATTTGGTGGCAGAACCCTTGCTTGCAGTAACTGCCTCAAGCCTGCGACCCATCGACATCAAACTGTTGTGTTCTTAATTTGTGATGCTCTTCCAGGCTTTTACCGCAGCATCTTCCAGTTCTTGTTTGTTTCGGGGTGTTTCTCTCTTCAGTCTCCTCTTAAGGAGGTGAAATGCAGCTCTATTGGGTTAAGGTCATGTGATTGACTTGGCCAGTCTAAAACCTTCTAAGTCCTTTGTTTTGTTGGCAGTGTGCTTTGGCTCATTGTCCTGCTGCATGATGAACTTCCTCCCCATTAGTTTCAATGCATTTCTCCGTAAACTGGCAGACAAAATGTTTCTGTCCACTTCTGAATTCATTCTGCTGCGACCATCATCAGTTCCATCATCAATAAATATTAATGAGCCTGTTCCAGAAGCAGCCATGCACGCCCAAGCCATAATCAGCAATCATGTAATTAATATTAGGAGAATTCTTAATAGAAGGGTCCTGTTGTCTTTTCTGTCCTTGAGTCCCAGTTTTGCTCCTCCCTTAATCCCTCCCTCCTTCCTCTCACAACTCTGACAAATAGTGAGTTTGTCTCTGCTGTGGTGCTGTAATTCACTACATGACATCATTTCCATCAGTTAACAAGAAGCTGATAAGGTAAAACTGGTTGACTTTGACAGAACATGTGAAGGTCCTGACTGAGGTCAATCTTTAGACAGACGATATACAACTATTCAATTACACATGACAGCCACATTAATTACTTATTCAATACATTACTCAAACAGTACTATTCACATTATTACATTTGTGTCACATTTTAGGACAAATCATATCATGAGAGGTCTTTACAAAAATAAATTGAGTAAAGTAGATGTTAAGCTCCAGACAGGAAGATTGTTTGCATATGTCAAATTTTCCTTCTATCGTTTCATGCTTGATCATTACTTGGTCATCCATGAATTCTGTTCTGTTCTGTAAACAATTTAATGGACCATCATTGGTTTACAAATGTTTTAATCTCCAGATTGGATCCTGTATATTTGACCAAGGGCATCGTAGTGGGGGGTGAAAGCATTTAGCAATTATAGTCATTGCATAGAAGTAAATGTTGAAAAAAGGTTGAAATGTGTTGACATTTCGGATGACATGTGTGTTGGAGGGGGGTTTTGGGGGGTGGGGGCAGTGGGTAATGGGGGTGGGGCACAGGGACTGCTTACAGAATTTGTGCAACGACCCGGTATATCTGACAGATGCTGAGTCAGAGCCTTGACATCATGTGTTTTTACAGAATGGACATTTTAATTATTTACTCCTTAAAGATCAAACAGCAGTGGAGAGAAAGGACTTCCTTGGTTGAGAACTCTCAGCTATTAGGCTGCTGATAGTCTCTCTTTATATAAACACAATCCAACATCATTATCATCCTTTGTCGGAATTGATTTAAAATAACATTTCAGAACTTGTAGTATCTTCCACATGCTGCTGCTGCATTGTTTTGTTTAATCACCAGCACCACAAATTCAGATCATAAACCACTGAAGTTTAACAGTGTGTGACTCCCTCTAGTGGACGTTGTGGAGTATTCTGTTGTCTTTGCTCCAAAGGTTTTTGTACAGAGTTTTGGTGTTTCCTGTCACTGTGGGCTTCACAGCACAGTAGTACACAGCAGAGTCTGTCACTGCAGCAGAGGAGATCTGCAGATGAAACTCCTTTGCTGTTTTGTCATGTTTATAAGAAAACCCTGCTTTCTTTGAATATTCTGCAAGGAAAAACTGTGGAGATGAACTGGACTTCTGTTGATACCAGAAGAAGTAGTCGAAAGATCCTGAATAGTTGCAGGAGACAGTCACAGAGTCTCCTTCCAAAGCCAGCATTACATCTTTAAATGGTTTCACTAAATCCTCAGAGGATCCTGAAAAAGACAAAGATAGATTTCACTCTGATATTTCTTTAAAGTGAGAGAAAAACAAATGAGTATTTGCCAAACTGAAATGTTTTCTGAGTCATGTTTAAAATCTCCTGTTAAATTTCACTCACCAGTGTGAAACATGAAGATGATCATCCAAACTAAGCAGAGCTGCATCATTTCCACTTGTACTGAATGAACAATAGAGAGAACACAGCAGCTCTTCACTTCCAACATGAAGCCTTTCATATTCAGTTGTGGAGCTCCTCCTCTTGCTGTGCTCTGTTTCCATTCAGGCTGATGGAAGCTTTAGAAATGACAGTGATGCTGCAGTCATCATCATCCAAGAAGGTCAGACTGAAGGAGGAATCTGCAGGAAATTCACCTGAAGGAATCTGGACACAAACACCTGGCTGAAACAGCAAACAGCTCTGACTGCAATCTGTACACAACTTCTGTTGGAGCCTGACACCTGGTTAAACTTACAGATCCCCACTACCCATAATGCTCCTGTGAATCCTCCCCCAGTGTTTCATTAGCAGCTGGAACCACAGTGACTCTGATAAAACAGGAATTCGCAGAATCCATCTGATATGAAGCTGTGGTTTGAATACCACTTCCCTCCTCTTTGAAGAGTAGTCAGATATCTGGGTTCAGGTTTTTGTACAGCCTCTTCTACACTTTGTATCACTGTGTTTCTAGAGCACAGTAGTAGAGAGCTGTGTCTGCCAGGGTTAGATCTCTGATGGTCAGTGTAGTTGATGTTGCTGATGTTTCAGATTCATATCGATCATCAGGAATATGTTCCTCATCACTCCATGATTTTGCTCCTTTCCAGAGTATAAACTGAGGTGCCTGAAGGTCAGAATGATGTTTGTACCAGTAAAGTTCAGGATAACTGTATGTTGTCTGATAGTTGCATGAGAGTGTGACAGATTGTCCTTCTCTTTCACTGACTTCCTCTCGTACAGGAGAGATTGTGTCTCCAGCTATTAGTCCTGGAAAAAGTAGAGCAAATGAAGCCATTAGACTAACATTGTTCATGAGGCTGAGAGGAGAAGACAGTGGAAAATGGCAGCTGTACAGTGTTACTCTGTGGACACAAACAGCTCAGCTGTTTCCATAAATCTTTAGAAAAGAATAAAAAGATGTTGTGCTTTCTATCTTACCAAAGAAAAGAGCAGCAAGAATAATCCCCAGCCAATGTTCCATCTCTACAACAAGGTTTAAATCAACAGGAGAAACTAGCTGATGTTCAACATTCAGTCTGAGGATTGTTCTCTTCACAGCAGCAGTTATTATTGACAGAATGGTTGAACACAGTGCAGAAGTAGTGCACCGCCTACTTGATAATGTGGCTCAGATTGGATTAACAGCAGCTACAGTGTCATCTAGTGGCCAATCAGAATCAGACCACAGAAGAAGAAGATGCCACTGAAACTTCAGACTAGTCCAGCAGCAATAAATATTCTGGAGCTCAAAGGAATATTGATGTAAACAATAATTTATCTACATAGTTAACATCACTCTCCTTCATTTGTCTTGATCATTTATACCTCATGCATACCTCATTTTTCTTCAACATGTTGAACAAAGGGAATGTTTCTGCTTTGTGTATTGAACTCTGCTGAATATGGAAGTTCCTCTCTCTTCTATAGTTCACTAACAGCTTAGCTTCTCCCTCAATCTCTCCGTCTCCTCGCAGCTCTGGATTTTCACTTCTCTCTGTTCCACTTCCTACCTTACCAGTAAATTCTACAGGATGTGAAAGTTTTTGCTTTATTTTCTGTAAATGAGACGTAGGTAACACTTTATTTTAAGGTGCTTGTAATAGGCAGTAATAAACAGTTAATAAGACACTTATAAGACCTTATAGGATGCTTATAAACAACAATATAAGTGTTAATTAAAACCTAATAAACTATTAATTATTGCTTATAAGACAATTATAGGCCTTTATTAGAGCTATAAGTTATATATACCTCATGAATGCGAGATTGGACATCACATTGTAATTTGCACTCCTAATACAGCTACCCTTTATACTTCAGTACATTTCTTATTTTCTTAGACAACTAAGATGGTTTGTGAAGGTTTTATCTTGTTCCTGTCGACTTTAAATGTGTATTTTATGACGATAAAATGACAGTTAATTTGAATAGAGTCTGGTGGGTTTGGCGATTTCAGGGATGTTTCATGTTAAAACAAAACGGATCTTACTCTTTAACAAAATCTTGACCTCAGCTGGGATCCTTTCCATAATGTTGTCAGACACTAAGAATAATTATCTGAGCGTGTCAGTGGCAAAACAAGCACGTTATGGATGGAAACTGAAGGTGTGCATTTTAAACTACATGCCTTATTTTATAACTGCATGTTAAAGTTAGCTTAAACTACATGCCTTATTTTAGAGCTGCATGCTAAAGTTAGCTTAAACTACATGCCTTATTTTAGAGCTGCATGCTAAAGTTAGCTTAAACTACATGCCTTATTTTAAACTACATGCCTTATTTTATAGGTGTATGCTAAAGTTAGCTTAAACTACATGCCTTATTTTAGAGCTGCATGCTAAAGTTAGCTTAAACTACATGCCTTATTTTATAGCTGCATGCTAAGGTTAACTTAAACTACATGCCTTATTTTATAGCTGCATGCTAAAGTTAACTTAAACTACATGCCTTATTTTATAGCTGCATGCTAACAGTAGCTTAATCTACATTCCTTATCCTATAGCTGCATGCTAAAGTTAGCTTAATCTACATGCCTTATCTTATAGCTGCATGCTGAAGTTAGCTCAAACTACATGCCTTATTTTAGAGCTGCATGCTAAAGTTAGCTTAAACGACACACCTTATTTTATAGCTGCATGCTAAAGTTAGCTTAAACTACATGCTTTATTTTAGAGCTGCATGCTAAAGTTAGCTTAAACTACATGCCTTATTTTATAGCTGCATGCTGAAGTTAGCTTAAACTACATGCCTTATTTTAAACTGCCTGCCTTATTTTATAGCTGCATGCTAAAGTTAGCTTAAACTACATGCCTTATTTTATAGCTGCATGCTAAAGTTAGCTTAAACTACATGCCTTATTTTATAGCTGCATGCTAAAGTTAGCTTAAACTACACGCCTTATTTTATAGCTACATGCTAAAGTTAGCTTAAACAACTCGTCTTATTTTATAGCTGCATGCTAAAGTTAGCTTAAACTACATGCCTTATTTTATGGCTGCATGCTAACGTTAGCTTAAACTACATGCCTTATTTTAGAGCTGCATGCTAACGTTAGCTTAAACTACGTGCCTTATTTTATAGCTGCATGCTAAAGTTAGCTTAAACTACATGCCTTATTTTAAACTACGTGCCTTATTTTATAGCTGCATGCTAATGTTAGCTTAAAGTACATGCCTTCTTTTAAACTACATGCCTTATTTTATAGCTGCATGCTAATGTTAGCTTAAACAACGTGCCTTATTTTATAGCTGCATGCTAAAGTTAGCTTAAACGACATGCCTTATTTTATATCTGCATGCTAATGTTAGCTTAAAGTACATACCGTATTTTAAACTACATGCCTTATTTTAAACTACATGCCTTATTTTATAGCTGCATGCTAATGTTAGCTTAAACTACATGCCTTATTTTAATCTACATGCCTTATTTTAAACTACATGCCTTATTTTATAGCTGCATGCTAATTTAGCTTAAACTACATGCCTTATTTTAAACTACATACCTTATTTTAAACTACATGCCTTATTTTAATCTACATACCTTATTTTATAGCTGCATGCTAAAGTTAGCTTAAACTACATGCCTTATTTTAGAGCTGCATGCTAAAGTTAGCTTAAACTACATGCCTTATTTTAATCTACATGCCTTATTTTAAACTACATACCTTATTTTATAGCTGCATGCTAATGTTAGCTTACACTACATGCCTTATTTTAAACTACATGCCTCATTTTAAACTACATACCTTATTTTAAACTACATGCCTTATTTGATAGCTGTATGCTAAAGTTAGCTTAAACTACATGCCTTATTTTATGGCTGCATGCTAAAGTTAGATTAAAGTATACGCCTTATTTTATAGCTGCATGGTAACATTAGCTTAAAAAACTCGTCGTATTTCATATCTGCATGGTAACGTTAGCTTAAACAACTCGTTTTATTTTATAGCTGCATGCTAAAGTTAGCTTAAACTACCTGCCTTATTTTATAGCTGCATGCTAATGTTAGCTTAAACAACATGCCTTATTTTATAGCTGCATGCTAAAGTTAGCTTAAACTACATGCCTTATTTTAAACTACATGCCTTATTTTAAACTACATGCCTTATTTTAAACTACATGCCTTATTTTAAACTACATACCTTATTTTAAACTACATACCTTATTTTAAACTACATACCTTATTTTAAACTACATACCTTATTTTATAGCTGCATGCTAATGTTAGCTTAAACTACATGCCTTATTTTAAACTACATGCCTTATTTTATAGCTGCATGCTAAAGTTAGCTTAAACTACATGCCTTATTTTAATCTACATGCCTTATTTTAAACTACATGCCTTATTTTATAGCTGCATGCTAATGTTAGCTTAAACTACATGCCTTATTTTAAACTACATACCTTATTTTATAGCTGCAAATAAAGTGTTACCGAGACATATTTATATTTACTGGTGTTCTTAATTCTCTGCAATTATGCTTTTCTTTCTTTCTGATTTTCTTTAAGTCAGCCAAAGTGAAAGCACTTGTGATTAACTTAAAGAAAATAGAGCTCACAGCCGGATGCTGAGTTCATCAGTCAGTTATCGTCTATTCCATAAACCAATCATAATGTGTTTTAAGACTCCATATTATTGACATGGTGTCATGGTTTTGGGTTTTGATGTTGTTATTTTCTATTTTATGTTGTATCTCCTGTGTCTTGTCTTACTTTATTTCCTGCCCTCGTGTTTTCCCGCCCGTTTGATTGGCTGCCCTGTCCTAATTAGTTTCACCTGTGTCTACTTAATCTCCCCTCACTTGTGTGTTTAGTCTGTGCGCCTGCCTTGTCTTTGTCTATATGTCAAGCTTTCTAGCCATTTCCCAGTGTTTTCCTGTGTTTTGGGTTTTTGGCCTGATGTATTAGACCGTTTAGATTTGGTTTATTGCTGCTTCGTTTGGATGTGTTTGCTATGTGTCTGCCTGTGTGGACCTTGGCCTGCCTCAGCTTGCTGTAAGTCAGTGTACTCTTTTATTTTGAAAACCATAAAACTGAACCTGCCTCTGGTTCTGGGTCTGGTCCACTCCCTCGTGTTCCTCTTTGCCCAATTGAACTTACTGTGACACAAAGATATTCTCTGTATGTTCCCTTTGCCTATAGGTTTAAAAATCATGATTGAAAAACCCTCAAGGAAGATCATTCAGAGACATCCCCTCCTAATGAAAGGCTTCCTGCTAAGTGTTTTATACCTATAAGATATTACAAATATTTCATTGATTCATGTAGAATATAAGTAATTTAAGACTTCATCATCACACTGAAGT